TCACCTAGACATGTCATTTACACAACTAAACAGAATTTACACACATACACATTTACTCGAGCTAATAAAAGCAAGCTTTTAGAAAAACACAATTAACACGACAAAACAACCGGATGAAAGTGAATAAACAAGTTTAAAAATGAAGATTTGAGAATTTATAACAGGTCCAATTTCAACTTGTTTAAACAACAATCAACATACTACCTAAACTAACACAAAAAATATATATAAAACATGGTTGTTTTACGTCGTAGTCTCGACGCCTGCTATTTATACACAATTCTCCAAGTTGCCTATTTATACGGTTAGCGCTTACCAACGGTGAAACTTAACCAAACACTTAGCAAATGTGAAGAGAAACAAACATATACAAGTATCAAAAACATCTAATAATTTACAAGTTTGGTAAACATATACAAATATCAATCTACACAAATTTCTACTTACACAATATTCACAAAATAGACATTATGTGCAAAACTCAAAAACAAAAAAACTATCGCAATGCGATCCAATAAAAACACTAATCCCTAGCAACAACATTATTTTGTTGAAGTGGTAAAGGGGAAAGCAAAAGTAAATATTTATTTTGATATAGGTTATATCGTATCATCTCCATATGGACTAGTGCTACTGAATTATCGTTCAATAAATCTCTCGTTAATGACTTTGGGTTAAAATGGGTTTAAAGTAAATTCGATAATTAAAAGTTATTAATAGGAAAATAATTCATTCTTCAGAGAAGAACTCATCAAGCATGCATATAATCCACTCCTCACAAATTTAAACCTATCGACCAGTTATATGCAACCTACGAGACTTATCAATGTCAACATGTATCAACTACACACCCATTGTATCATCTCGGAGGCGATCTCTCAACCAACTTCAACAACACAGAAGTCAACAGTGCTACTCGTGTTGACGATCTCTCAACATAACACAACTAACACAAAGGCATTAATCACAGGATCTAAATCTATCTCTAAAATCTATACACTATTAGATAATCACCCTAAATAAGAATTCGAGCAGTATATGCTTATAGAAACCAAAACCCCAAAGCATAAAGCAAAAATCCAGGATAATAATCGATAAAGATTTGTAAAGTAAGCTTTATACAACGCCATGTGCGACAAATAAACATGAGTTCAAAGTAAATATACATACAAAACCCAACAAATGAAGAATTCAATAAGAAGAAGAGAAATAAACCACAAATATCTCGGTTTGTCAGCGTCTATCGATGAGCAATCGACCCTGGATCATCTGTATGCAAGCTCCATTTTTGTTTTCTAAGCTAATCTACCAAAAAATGAGTTGATGGAGTTTGGAGAACAAAAACACCCCCAAAAACATAAACTAAAAAATAAAGAAATGAAAGTTATAAAATAAATCTCAACAGATCGCTCATAGCAGGCTCACCGCGCTAAGCGGAGTGCGCTTATTTTACACATCAAATCGCCTAAAACCGTGCTAAGCGAGTTATTCGCGTTTAGCAGGCTCAGAAAATCACTTCTTCCAAATGTGTCAAAATGCGCGTAGCGCGCTAGAGGATGCGCTTAGCGCGGTCCCCTGAGCAGAACTACCCAAAACTTGGTCTTTTATTCTGAAAATGTGCATCTGGAGCAGTACCATCGACACCTTATTCCTCGATGCTTCAAATGTGCAACAAATACCTACAAAAGAAGTAAAATCTATCAAACGGTATACAAATGAATCAAAATCACAAATATACACAAACTAAACGTATTTACAAACAAAGCGGAGAATTATTCAACAAATATTAATAAAAGGGCTGATAAGTGCCACAAAATATATATACAAAATAACTACATTTTGGCACTTATCAGCAACCAACAAAAATACTTAGAGTTTAAGCTTCATATATTGTAATTCTTTGTCTCACTCACTACCACTCTTAATTTATCTTTTCCTTCAAAAAGCAACCAAACAAAAACTTGTTCAAACAGACTAAGAAACATGCACAAAACATAATCATACTCACAAATTCAAACTCTTAATCTTTTTTTTTTCTACAATCATGCTAAGAACTCACATATAAGGAACCAAACAAAAACATGTTGAATATAGACTAAGAAACATGCTTAAAACATACACATACTCACAAATTCACACACCTAATCTTGCATAAACTTTTCCTAAACTTACAATTATTTTGCATATTCCTAGCTTCTTGCATTTCTCCAATTCTTTCTGTATCTTGAACTTCTTGCATAACTCTTAAAACTTTCTAGCTACATGACAACTCATCTGTCAAAAATTTGCATAAAAAATCACATATACAGTTGGGATTAGACCAGTCAATTTCTTATTGGTTATCAACTTATTATAACTTACAACAATAAAAACAAAATCAAAACAAGTAAATCAAATCAAAGTCAAGGGAACAACAAGTCTTCAAGTTGACATAATACATATATAATGACACTTAATTCAGTGTCGTTTTTTGCTTAAGAATCATTTGGTTTCCATAATTAAATCAAATGATTTCTCTAGATGAAAAAAAGTTGAAAAACTGAAACATAAAACATAGATCACTACTTAAAGATCATATAACATCTGAAACATATTAGAAGGCAAATTCAAAACATGTTAAAAATCTTATTGTCCACCCCTAAAAGAGATGGTGCACTGACGGTCAACCAATGACAACCATGTATTATTTCAAGTTAGGTCATAAATTTTAAATTATTAATATGATTTGACACTTCAAAATATTTTAATTGGATGAATGTGTAATCCTTTTTTACACTAATAGTACACTACTATTAAACTCTTTTAATTTTATAATTGTTTTATTAATACTTATAAATTTAATAAATATTTTAAATAGCTTGGAAAAATAAATAACTAAATAACATCATCTAATATAATATAAGCCATCTATAAAAAATAAATGACACATCAAAACTTTTTTGACCAAAAATGAAATCATCTAATATAAGCCATCTATAAAAAATAAATGACACATCAAAATTTTTTTGACCAAAAATGAAATCCACGTAATATAAACAATCTATCAAAAATAAATGACATATCAAAAGTTTTTTTTGACCAAAAATGAAAAGGGAACTAAACATATTTAAAAATGAAATTGAGATAATGATTTGGTGAAAGATAATTTAACCTTCTCTTTTCTATTATTCTATTTGGTTTCATAATAAAAAAAAATATTTAAAAATAAATTCTTAAGTTTTGTGAATAGGAAATATCTAATTGTTCAGTTTTAGTTTATAAAATTATTTATCATAGTTAAATTATAAAATTAAAAAATATTATTAGTATTATTGCCATATGTATTTTTTCAATGAATTTGCTGTCAAATCAAAGTAACTTTTTTTTTAATTTTTATATTTAATTGATACGTGATCAAGAAAAATGTAATTTTTATTTTTTTGATATTTTTTTAATGGAAAAAGCAGAAAAATATAAAAAGATTTAAAAGATATTAAATGTCAATAAGTTATATTTGTTAAACTATAACCATTATATAACTTAAAAGTTATACAAAAATGGGTGAGATTCAACTCAACCTTTAAACATTTAACTTTGTCATGTTCTACTTCTTAGGATAACATCACCAAATTAACGAGTCATCTTCCAATTTTTCTTGCATAAAATGCTATCATATCCACACAAATGTTATACAATCAATAAATTAAAATCATCACATGAGATGGCACTCAATAGTTAAATGATATACAGAAAAATTAATCGACAGAATATTGAGGAAGTCTACGTTGATGCATATCATCGATATAAGATATGATTTATATCAGAGTAGAAAATATTAAAATTAAATTCCATAAATTGAATTTATTATATATCATAATCAATAGTTAAATGAAGGTTGAATTCATATCAGAGTTTGAAATAAAATAATCAAATTTTTATATTACAGGAAGATGTTGGAATTATGAAAGATTATCCATCTTATGGTCTAGAATACTACCAAGTAAGTAGATTTAATAAATATTTTAAATGACTTGGAAAAATAAATAATCAAATGACATTATTTAATATTATTTCTGTTTTTTTTACAAGAGACAAATTACTCTTTTAAGTTTATTAAGTAATCAGTATATTTGATCTGTTTATAGACTAGATATATTGACTGTTCAATAAACTTAAAAAATAAGTTGTTTTTTATAAAAAGAAAACAGAGATAATATAATATAAGTCATCTATCAAAAAAATTTATAAACAGAAGTAATATAATATAAGTCATCTATCAAAAATAAATGACACATTAAAACTTTTTTGACCAAAAATAAAATTCATCTAATATAAGTCATCTATAAAAAATAAATGACACATAAAAACTTTTTGACCAAAAATGAAAAGGAAATTAAACATATTTAAAAATAAAATTGAGATAATAATTCGGTGGAAGATACAAAACTGAAATTTAACCTTCTCTTTTTTATTATTTTGTTTGGTTTCATAACAAGAAAATATTATTTATAAATTAATTCTTAAGTTTTGTGATAAAAAATATCAAATATCAAATTGTTTAGTTTTAGTTTATAAAATTATTTATCATAGTCAAATTATAAAATTAAAAAATAGTATTAACTTTATTGCCATATGTATTTTTTGAATAAATTTGCTGTCAAATCAAAGTAACTTTTTTATTTTTATATTTAATTGTTATGTGATCAAGATAAATGTAATTTTTATTTTTTTTAATATTTTTTTAATGGAAAAAACAGAAAAATATAAAAAAATTTAAAAGATATTAAATGTCAATAAGTTATAGTCGTTGAACTATAACCATTATGTAACTTAAAAGTTATACAAAAATGGGTGAGATTCAACTCAACCTTTAAACATTTAACTTTGTAATTTTCTACTTGTTAGGATTAACATCACCAAATTAATGACTCGTCTTTCAATTTTTCTTGTATAAAATGCTATCATATTCACACAAATGTTATTTCATACAATCAATTAATTAATTAAGATCATCACATGAGATGGCACTCAACCTTGTTTATCTTCTATGGCTCTTTATTCTAATTAGTACCAGTACATTGGCATTGAAAAATTTCTCAAAAGATATTTCTCCAAATATTTCTGCCAATGTTTTTGATGTTACTTCATTGAATAGAAGTAGTTTTCCAAATGACTTCATCTTTGGAACATCAACCTCTGCATATCAGGTATTTTATTTTATTTTATTTACATTTTGAAGCAACTTATTATGACACACAAGATAATCATTCTTATATATATAAATACAGTATGAAGGTGGTGTAAAGGAAGGTGGCAAGGGAACAAGTATATGGGATACCTTCACTAAAAAATATTCAGGTAACACTTACGCAATTTTAATTTCTATAAAATACTCTTTTAACTTCACTTTTTTCAATTGTCTCTATCATATAAGACTAACTACTCATAAATTAAATATTACTAGGAATAAAAATAAAAATATTAAAAAATTTAATTAAAATAAGAAAAATTAAATTGAAATAATGTATGTGTGACTTACATGTATTTATTGGTCATTAATATACAGAAAAAATAGTCGACAGAAATACTGGAGAAGTCTCTGTTGATGGATATCATCGGTACAAGGTATGATTCATATCAGAGTAGAGAATATTAAAATTGAACTCCACAAATTGAATTTATTATAGATCATAATCAATAGTTAAATGAAGGTTGAATTCATATCAAAGTTTGGAATGAAATAACTAAATTTTTATATTACAGGAAGATGTTGGAATCATGAAGTATATGAGTTTAGATGCATACAGATTATCCATCTCATGGTCTAGAATACTACCAAGTAAGTTGATTTATGATAAGTTTCTATCTTTTAATTAATTAAACAATGTATATCAAGTTAATTATTGCATTCATAATGAAATTTCTTTTTACAGATGGAAGAATAAGTGGAGGTATAAATCAGGAAGGAATCACATATTACAACAACTTAATCAATGAGCTATTAGCTAATGGTCACAATCCAACTACTTATTTTCTTGTAAATCTTGAAATTTTCATTTTCTAATTTTTCAAGACATTTTTGCAATCATAGTTGATAAAATAAATTAGTTTTTCAGGTATAGAAGTATTTGTAACCCTTTTCCATTGGGATCTACCACAAGCTTTGGAAGATGAGTATGGTGGTTTCTTAAGTCCTCTCATTGTGTAAGTAACAAATTTTTCTGTACTAAATATTCTGTTTCTAAAATGCACAAAACTAGTATATCTTGTTGTGTGATTATACTTTTTTATTATGAACATTTAGATTTGATTTTCTGAATTACGCGGAGCTTTGCTTCAAGGAATTTGGAGATAGAGTGAAGCATTGGATTACCATAAATGAACCATCAACTTACACAATAGCTGGATATGCTATAGGGATGTTTCCACCTGGTAGATGCTCTGATTGGCAAAATCTCAATTGCACCGGCGGCGATTCAGCGACAGAGCCCTATTTAGTTGCACATCACCTACTCCTTGCTCATGCAGCAGCTGTTCAAGTCTACAAGACAAAATATCAGGTTAATTAGATGCCATCACAACCTTTTTTAGGAGTAATATCTATTTTGTAGGAAGACTAACCAATTTACTGTCTCTGGCCATAGTTATTTTAAATACTTGAATACTAAATTGTTAGGGTCTAAAATAATGCAGGTACCGTTGTTACTTAAAAGCCAAAGCACATATCAAAGGGGTTGTATTGGAATAGCCTTACAGTCCTACTGGTTTGTGCCATTTTCAAATAGCAAATCCGATGAAAGAGCTGCAGAACGATCAATTGAATTCATGTTTGGATGGTTAGTAGCTCATAGCACACTTATATTAAAAAGAGGAAGAAAAAAAAAAACAAAAGGAGCATGATTTACTAAAGCACTATTCAGTTTTCATTCATCTCTCATAAATTATGAAGAATTTTTGAGTAAGCTATTGTAAGTGTGCATGAGCACCCACATGCATAACACCATCAGAGAGCTTAAAAAATTCAATTCAAATTTCAATTGTAGGTTTATGACACCATTAACAACAGGAGGCTATCCACAAACTATGCGATCCTTGGTTGGACAGCGATTGCCAAAGTTCTCTGAAGAGCAAGCCAAACTAGTTAGGGGCTCTTTTGATTTTATTGGATTAAACTACTACACATCTAGATATGCGGCAAATGTACCTCATTTAAACAAAACTATACCCTGTTATCTCACAGATTCTCTAGCCAATGTTACTGGTAAACACATTATTTATTAACCACTTAATTCATATTTAACTTTAACTTATATATGAATATATGTTGAATTTGACAATGGTGTATCTTATATTTCTTGTGATGGAAGTTGAGCGTAACGGAGTACCCATTGGTCCAAAGGTATGTATGTACAAGTGAGACTACATCAAATGAAATTTTATCTATCTGAAAAACTAAAAGTAAAAAACCTCCATTTATGATTATATATATTTGCAGGGTGCTTCAGACTGGTTTTATATTTACCCAATGGGATTTAAGAAACTATTGGTCTACATCAAGGAAAAGTACAATAATCCTTTGATTTATGTAGCCGAAAATGGTACAACAATCTTTTAGTCTAGTACGTATGTGTTAGTACATGTACGAGAAAGTTGACCTCACACACTTAACATGATTTGCAGGTATAGATGAGAATAATGACCCAACATTGTCATTAGATGAAGCACTTAAGGATATTCACAGAATTAAATACCATCATGACCATCTGTCATATCTCCGATCAGCAATTAGGTAATGGTTGTTTTTATATCTAAAGACCCTTTGCCTATTTGTTTCAATACATAGTTTAATTATTCATTTTTTGTGAATATATTAAAGGTTCGGCGTAAACGTAAAAGGATATTTTGCATGGTCTTTATTGGACAATTTTGAATGGACAGAAGGCTACACAGTGAGGTTTGGAATGAACTTTGTAGATTACAACAATAAGTTGAAAAGATATCAAAAGCTCTCAGCACAATGGTTCAAGAGTTTTCTTGAGAGGGCTTAGACTTTCTAATATATATATATATATATATATATATATATATATATATATATATATATATATATATATATATATATATATATATATATTTGTTATGATAAATAATGCAATGAGATACATAAAATAAATATGTATTAAGTAGTTACATATGATTTTTCTTTCTCAAAAGAAATTATGTGATTCATTATATTATGATTTTTGTGTATCTTAGTGTTTTCTCTTAATTTTGTTTCAACAATCACCATGACCACATTGACATTCAGATGTTATAAGAAAACTTTCATGTAAAACACAAGTAATTCCACTCCTCTGGTTGGGATAAACATAAACATGTGATAGATTATGAAGATCAGAAAAAATACATGTTTTAAAAAGTTGAAACCTAGTTGGTAATCTATCTTGAAAAAGCCTCCGAGATAATATTCTTCATTGTTTCCAAAGTCTACCATATGAAATAATTTTTCAAGATCTATTAGCAAGTCCTCAATCCAGCTAAACATCATTCTCCTCCACAACCGTGAACAACTCCAAGAAAATTTGTACAAAAAAAAATAGCATTATCAGCGGACAATACCTCTGAGACCTTATACCCAAGTTGAACCTTGGTAACAAAACCAGATAAGCCTTCTATGACCAATAAGGTTTAAAAAAATGTGAATATCATCTGAGGGTCTACCATCAACTAACTAATATGAACAAATGAGAGATAAAAGTGCATGCCCTAATCCAAATCCTTCATGTATTACAAAATCTACTAATTCCTTTGTCACCAAAACACATAAAGCTTTTTCATATTAAGCATGAAAGATGAATGACACATAGAAATTACTTATAACAACACCCTCTTCATCCATTATGTAAACAACTCTCTGATAGTTTTGAACATACTACTTATTAACGAGATTGATTAGTATTCTAACAAAGTTTATGTACCTGTATTCTTCGGAATTAGAGCCAAAAAAATAATTCAGCAACTACTTTAGATAAATCCATACTTGGACAAAAAAGCTGAGTGAATGAAATTACACACCTGTAATTTGATAAGGAAGAAAAGCCAGATGAGGAAGATGCTTGCGATTCTTGTTGATGCTGATTAGGTTTTGAAGTTTTTGACCCTTATTACTATGTTTTCATCATAAGAAAATTCTTAAGATTAGTTACTAATAATTTTTACCTATCCATACATTCGTCAATCCATTGTATTCTTAAGACAATAAAATATTAGGTGAGAAAAAATATGTGTTAGATGAAGACAAGAACTCATCACGTTTTTCTACATTTTTTTTGGAAGGAGTCACCTACCACACCCTCTAATTGAGTGAGATTGTCCTTGTCATCACCAAGAATGTAGCTTCAAGTTTCATTTTCGCTAAGGTAGTGAACCATCTCTCCATATATTGTACATAATGAATCATCTATACAAGATTATATAGTATGTAATCAGAATTGTAGGTTGAAGATTCAGCACGCGTCATTAGTTGACACAGACTATACATTACATATCTGAAAGGTTAGGCCAAATCTATCATTTTTTACATATCAAAATCGTAAATACCTTCACTGAGCATATTAGTTGCAAACAGGGTGACTTCTATTATACTCACAACAAGCATAGTTGGCACCCACCGTAGAGTTCGTTAAATGTTTTTGGACCACACTTTTTTCAAATCTTTTGAGTAATCTAGTTTTTGTTAGGCACCCTTTTTCATTCAGATTGCACCCTTTTCTTAAGAACAATTAAAAACTCAACCAAAAGATGAGTAAGAATAATTATAAATTTCTAGGAAATTAAAAAACCACTTATTTAAAGGGTTAATCAGAGTTTTCCGATTTGTTAACCTCTATAAAGTGTACCACCTTAAGCCTTAAGTCAATTTTAGAAAATCCCTCTTTTGAGGAAACGAAAAACCACAATCATAATCCTTCTCTGTGAATCGTTCGATACGAGAGGTTGCATGACCATTAAGATCATCACAGTCATTGATTATTACCCACCAACGTCAACATATTGATCACATTCGTTGAATAATATCATCAACGATCTCAACCAACCATCAGAAAAGGTAAACACCATCAGTCAGACTTCTTTTCTTGTATACTCAACGTATACACTTGTTGTGCACGACTTCATTTAATTTGCACTAAGGCATCATCAAAGCTACAAAGAAATCCTACAAAATAGACAAGATTTTCACCTTTGGTACCCAAATATTTTTTATGCCCTAATGCATTAGTAGCTCTAAGAGGTATAAAGTTATTCCCTTTGAACCTTCTTAGTTTATCATAGCAAAACAACTTTAAATGGCGAACCTTATTACATAAAGAAAATGTATAGATAGGACGATTCAATTTATTCCTATTATTAAAACATTTACTAAGTAATTTATCCATTTTTATTTAAGAAAGGCCTTTGATTTTATAGAATCAAATCTATATTTTCTTTCCCATTAGTAAATTTATTTATGGTTTCATACAAATCTTTCACTTCCTGTGTCATTGAAATAGAAATTTCATAATTATTAGTTTGGTTTATATTATTAGTGATTTCATACTATAACATTTCATTTATATTTTCTAGAATCTAAATATATTCTTTAAGCTCTACGTTGCTCTTTTTCATATTATCATATTTCAGTAATACTTAATCGATAAAACTGTTATGCAGAAACATTTAACTTAAGGGTCTTGAAAGTTTATGATTTTCACATACTTGGATTTGATGAAGAGGCCATAGTAGCAAACACACAAATTGGTTTCTCTCCCCTTCTCCCCTTACTGACACATACAATAAGATGAAATGTAAAAGTTATTGAGTCTTATGGGAAGTGAGAGGACCAATTTATAGATGGTGTCACTTAATCTGAGACGTCCATCATATCTCAGTATCAACAGATGAGATCGGTTTACTTGTAGTGGTTACTAAAAATTAATTTCTTGATAATTATCATTTACTCTAATTTACTTAATTCCATTAATTTATAGGTTACAAAATAATGAAAATAATTGTTATTAATCTATTTTATTTTAGGCCGTCAATTAGAGTATCACAAAATTATTTGGGCCATTAGTTAAAATATTACAAAATTATAATACAATTTCTTACATTCTCCCACTTAGCCAAAATTTGATAGAACCACCATACAACTTATGATATATAAACACTAATGTATTTAATCTCATCTATGTGAATACATAATTACCTTAGTATAACAGAATATTAGGTGTGGATTATGACAGTCATGTATTATTTTCTAAGACAATTCCTTCCATATACCGCAAATACAAATGTTCTATTATACAAGGTGCTTATTCACCACATAAAATTTCATTGTGGTATCTTAAGTGTTTCTAGAATATTCATGTTATATCTCATTATCAAAATTACATGCGCAATAACTAGAAACATTCATTAAGGTTCATGAATACATAATCATAAAGAGCTTAGAGTACCAACATTATCAAATACATCATTCAAGAGGATAACCAATATCCATTATTTGTACATGTTCCTTAAATGTCTTTGGTTGTAACCCTTTAGTTAACAAATCAGTAATCATAAGGTTTGTTCTTATATGATCTATATATACTCTTTGTTTTTGAAATTTTTCCATAACGGAGAAATACTTTAGCTATATATGTTTTGCACCATTTGAGTATTTTTCATTCTTAGAGAAAAATACTACTGTGGAATTGTCACAGTAAATTTTCAATGGCTTGGTAATGGTGTCAACTACCCCCAATCCATGAAATAAAATTCCGCAACCATAATGCCTGAACTGTAGCTTCAAGACATGCTATAAATTCAGCTTCCATGGTTGAAAAAGCAACAAATGTTTACTTAGCACTTTGCTATGATATGGCTCCTTCTCCAAGAAGAAACATGTAGCCAAATATAGAATTTCTAGTGTTAATACATCGATCAAAATCTAAGTTTGAATATCCAACTACTTCCAACTGATTGGATCTTTTGTACATGAGCATGTAATCCTTAGTACCTTGAAGATACCTCAAAATTTTCTTTACAGTTTTCCAATGATCAAATCCAGAATTACTTTGATACTTGTCTAACATTCCAACTGCGAAGCTAATATCCTGTCTCGTGCAGGTTTGCACATACATCAAAATACCCGCTACATAACCATACGAAATTGATTCCATTTGTTTCCACTCTATGTCATTCTTTGGACATTGTATAAGACTTAGTTTGTCTCCTTTTTGAATTGGTACAATTCCAGGAGAACAATTTTCCATGTTAAATCTCTTTAGAATTTTCTTGATGTAGGCCTTTTGAGACAATCCCCAACAGTCCTTGCGATATATCATGGGATATTTCAATTCCTATCACATAGGATACCTCTCCTAAATCTTTCATTTCAAAATCCTTAGAGAGATATTCTTTAGTCTCATGAAACATATTTAAAATATTATTTGAAAACAATATATCATCAACATATAGGACCAAAAACATAAACTTACTCCCACTGATCTTTTGGTATATGCATTTATCAACTAGATTTTCTTCAAAACTGGAAGAGGTAATGGTATCTTTAAACTTGATGTACCATTGCCTTGAGTCTTATTTTAGTCCATATATTGACTTCTTCAATTTACATACCATATGATCTTTTCCTTCAATTGGAAAATCTTCAGGTTGGTCCATATAAACTTCTTCTTCAAGACTACCATTCATAAAGGTTATTTTCACATCCATATGGTGTAACTCTAAATCAAAATGAGCCACCAGTTCCATGGTAATACGCAACAAGTCTTTCTTTGACACAAAAGAAAATTTTTCTTTATAATCAACACCATCTTTTTGAGTATATCCTTTATCAATGAGTCGAGCTTTATATCATTCGATATTTCCATTTGTGTCTCGCTTGGTCTTAAAGACCCACTTACAGCCAACTCGTTTAGCATTCTTAGGCAATTCGACAATTTCCCAAACTTTATTTTCTTGCATGGGTTTTAACTCTTCTTTCATGGCATCAATCCATTTCCCT